GCGACAATAAAAATTTGTTAGTAGAGACGGGGAGTAAGTTACAGATCATTCTGTTTATATGCTTACAATATGAGTTGTGTGAAGAAGTACATTTGTTGCAGGATGAGTTACAAACTGTGAATGACGTCGATGTAGTATATTCTAGCTCTCTGTAGAAATTCCACCTATTCGTACTTCTTCTAGAAGTTTGAAGAATTGGGTATCACCATTTTGGCATTGAGGTTTCTTAAGAATAGGGGGTAGAATAGTGACCAAGTAGCTGATTGAAAGACTTGTTGACTAGTGATGGGAGGAAGCTGGAAAAGATCACCAACAACGATTACATTAATTCTGCCAAAAGCGATAGCATTGTTGTGTAGTCCTGCAAATAGGTTTGATAGATAATCTAGTAGTTCTGCAGAAACCATTGATATTTCTTCGATAATTAATGTATCAATTTTTTGCAGACAGATTTTAAGTTCTTTATTTGTAAAGATTCTCGAGGTGAATCCTGTTTGGGTGGATATGATATGGAGTTCGGAATGTATCGTTTTTCCTCCTATGTTCTGGGCTGCTATGCTAGTTGGCGCAAGCAGTAGATAATTGGAATTTCTTTGGTTAAACATTCTTGTTATTATATAAATAATATACGATTTTCCAGTCTCTGCAGATCCTGTTATGAAATAGTAAGGCTATTTGGTACCATCAGCTTTGCCCATGTACATAAAGATAGTTAATAAAGCTTTATATTGGTCTGGCAGTAATTCAAGCGTAGCAGTAAGTGGAAAGATATGAGGAAGAATTTTTAAATTGTTTAGTTGGGAGTGAATTATGTCATGAATAGCTGTAGGTAATTGGGTGCCTAATGAATTTAATAACCTATCTAGCATTTTACTAAATTGATTGTTTAGGCAAGTTAGTCGTGAATGATGCGTGGTCGCAGCCTGGCCTTGTATATTAGTTAGGAAGTTCAGAAATAAAGATAAAAACTTATCACGGTAAGTTTGATTTGGGTTAGTTTTGTAGTCAGTTTCACTTCTTGCAGGATGATTTAAGAGCAACTGCTGATAGAAATAAAGTTCTCCATCTTCGAATTTAAGTTGGCGATATCTAATTATAATTTCTTTTTTGCGTTTTACGACATAATTGTGTAGTTGGTCATGATGGATAGTACGTGGTGTTGATGGAGGTCTAGAAGGTGTAATAGAATACTGTTCAAAGTATTGAGAATAGGTAAGGTTTTCAAATTCGAGAATTAGTGGACGGTGCATATATTTCATAATTGTATCATCATAATATAGATTTTCATCGTCTTCATCTATCATATAGGGAGGAAGTACTGTACGTGTTCTGGTAGAAGGTGGTTCAGTGGTGAGAAATTTTACAGTAGCTGAAGAATCACATATATGATGTCCTAACAGTAAGAACATAAGTTCCATTGAGCCAAGTCTTCGTGCAATAACGTGCTCTTTTAATGAGTTATTTTTATGGATATTAAAGAGGTAAGAAGGTTCTGCTTTTGCGATATATTTTACCATATATTGTGCGAACCCTTTATCTGTTATGTATTGTGCATTCATATGGGCATTCCAAAGTAAGAGGGTTGGTACATGGTAGGGAACAACTCATGAATCAGCTTCGGTTAAGCACTTATAGGTATAACGGCTGCTTCCTTCTTTATAATGGTCAATTTACTATAAAGACAGAGAAATCCTTTTTTAAAAGTTTGTACTGGAAGGGCTGGTCCTCTATATTTGTCATTACACATGTGTATTTGGTTTGCTACGACTGCAGCATAGAGTTCGGGCTCATTGAGCTGATCAGGCATTGTCGATCGTATTATATTGTCCTGTATCATATCTTGAATAGATTTAGTTGTCCAGTAACAACTATGAGTATGGGCTGCTCCTCTGTTTTGAAATTTGACTTGATCGAAAAAATCAGGAATATTACCGAAGCCTGTAAGGTCAGACTTTTTGTAAAGTTCTTTCTTTAGTGATTGAAATCTGTGGATGAAATAATTTGCACAATGGAACGGTCTGTTTGTTGGTAAGGTGTCATGGTTATCACTGCTAAAAAGTATAGTATGGAGATGAGTCTATCGGCTTTCAGCCATACTTAAAGTTATAAATAGGGTAGGTAAGCCAAGCTTATGAATCATAGTGTTTAAGTGTAGCTGTCTTTGGTGAAAATAAGTATCTCTAGTACGTATAAAAGAAGAAATGGAGTTTGTTATATTTTCATTAACTATATTATACAGAGTATAGGCACTAGGGTGAAGTAAATCTCTTCCCATCGGTAGTTGGTTATCAGTAGTAGTTAAAGTACTTCGAAATATTCTTTGTGTATTTTGGTGATTTCTTAATTTTTCAAGACCAAAAAGGCCAGTGATTATAGAGTCTCCATCTTGGATCAATGTTCAATAAACATAATTTAATATATTTGCCATATGTTTTATCACGAGTTTCATTTTCTAGTGTAGATGTGATATCATGGAAGTGACCTCTTCTATCAGTGAATAGATCTGGAAAGAGTAGAGATTCTAAGTTGGGATCGTGGACAGAAATTGGTAAACGTGAGGAGTCACTTTCTTGAATAAAGCCCGCTATTAATCTAGTATAATGAAAATCTTCAGTATGAACTTCGTCAGGAAAATCATAACTGGGAAGTATTATTTTATGAGAATTAATAGGAGGCGTTTCTATATTGGTTTGGGCGTGTTGTACTGTTGGAAAGGGGCCACTTTGGTTGTTTTGTAGTAAAAGATTAGCAAATGGTCGAAAGTATGGATTATTCTCAGTTAACCAATTAGCAGCACGTCGTAAAGTCTGATCATTGGCGGGGTTATAAGTTGAGTTATTACTATTATTATCTGGTTCTAGGAAAGCGCCTAGAGCTCCAGAATATAACATATAAGCTCTGTTATTACATGAATAACCCATAGTTCCGGTTAGACTTCGATATTCTGCATAAGGATTACTATTGGGTGCTCTTCCTAATAAGCAGTGAAGATATATAGGTGATAAATGTTTTCGTTTATGTAAAGAGACAGAAGTAATTTCTTCTGGCATGGGATTTTTACAAGAGGGACAGGTAAATACTTTGGTAGTTCTAGCATTAGGGTGAAAAGATAAGGAAACAGCAGGTATATGTTGCTGTAAAGGGTAAGTGAACGACACATTGTAAAGAATCCAAGAAGCTTTTTCAGGATATAAAAGGCAGGTTAAGAAGATAGATCAGATAAGGCCTCATATTCGTCATCGAATACATATATGTTATGAAATTGGTGGGTCATTTTTTATTTTTATTTTATTTTATTTTTTTGTATTTGTATGTATGATTAAACAAATCGGAATTAAAACTTTAATAAGAGCAGTTTTAGATTTTATTTTTTAAATGTTTGAATTTCGAAATTTTATTGGAATCAAAAGTGATACATTTTTTTAGGTATTTATAAATTTTTAGTAAAATAAGTTTGTTGGATATGTAGTTAATCATACAATTTTGTCGCATAACAATGCTTTTTGAGTAATCTTTTGGCTTTGAATACATTATTGATTTATTTAGATATTGCTTGTCATTATATAAAGATGTTTAAGGAAGATATTTTTAAATATGTTTTTTAAATAGTATCATATGATTCTTGTCGTATAATTATACTTTTTAATAAATTTAATAATTTGATCGCTTCATGATTATTGATTTATTTAGACATTGCTTGTTATTATGTAATGATGTTTTAAGGAAGATGTTTTTAATGCATTTTCTTTAAATAGTATTATACGATTCTTGCGGCATAATTTTGCTTTTTATTGAATTTAATTATTTAATTACTTGTTACTTGTTTTGAGATTATTTAAGTAGGTTTAGGTTTTTAAGAATTGTATATCTATAAAAAGAAGTAGATTCTGTTTTAGAAATAATGATTATTGCATATCATGGCTAAGTAATAATTAATAACTACATAAGAAATTTCTAGTATGTAGGTATAAAGCGGCTGTGCTTCGAAAATGCAGTATACAATATGCTGCATTATACTTGTTGGTTGGTTTTATATATATATGTATAAAAATAAAGAATTATATATAGAAATATATATAGTTTGTACATATACGTATATAAAGATTAATTAATAATAAAGTTTTCTTCCTCAACGTGTTAAGTAAATAATTAATTAAATATTAACTGCAATCGATATTTGAGCTAAATAATACAATTGATTCGTTAATTAAACTAATAAAAATTACTTTTATAACAGATTGATTAAGGTGTTCGAGAACATTTTGTAGTTATTCATTATTAAATAAAAAAAAATGGTTAGTCAATAATTCGTTTTAGAATTGTTAACTATGTACTATGATTAAATGTAGACAAGTTTGAAAATCTTATAGAAAATAGGAAATTATCTGAAAATAGTAAGTGGAATGGTATACGTATAGAATTATTTATTTATTTAGTAAATAAATAATCTCTAATTTTAATTTTCGATCAGTGGTGTTAAATGAACGATTTTAAAATCATGTTTGTTTAATTTATTTAACAGATCCTAAAATCTGTGTTTTAATAGTTCGATTGTATAATTATGATTATAAATTTAAAAAAAAAAAAATTGAATAAAAATTTTTAAAACAATGTCTTATTCACGAAAATATAATTATTGCGAAGAAGACTTCATTGATTTAGTTGACTAACAACTGAAAGGCTATTTATTAAAATGTAAAAATATATATATAAGATTTATAAAAATTGAATTTTGGTTCTTTAAATAATTCACTCACATTATCGTTAACTTTGAAATTAAGTATATAGCATAGTTTGCATTTAGCTGGTAATGTATATTTTTCGATAATTATCAAGATATTTTATTTATTTTATTTATATCATATTTAAAAGATGAGTAATACTAATATATTTGGTTATGTAATTATGATTTAGAAATTTTTTATACTAAAAAAATATAATTTTTATATTATATATTTAATATAAAAAGATACAAACAAAAAGATTTTTTGCTTTCCTAATTATTTTGTAGTTCTATCTTTATTACTTTGAGAAGAGAACTGTTGATCAGACATATTTGGGACAGGGTTTGTCTTTAGAGCCGATGAGAGAGAAGTTGGGTTCATATTAGATAAGGTGGGTCGATTTTTTTTTGCTACTTTTGGAGTGGCACCGTGAGGCTTGCGACCTTGTTGATATTCAGGAATAGTCGACTAGGATAGCCACGGGGGAGTTGAGGACTGGGCGGAAGAGTTGTTGCGATTCATGTTAACCAGAGAAATGTCTTCTAAAAAAATAATATGTTTTCCTGTGGTTGCCTCATTTTCACGTTGGTAGATGATTGTTCCGACTAGAACCGCAGTAGTAGATTGGATATTTTAGTTGATCGTGACAGTTTTGTTGGAGAGGTATTTGTTGTTTGCATCATGTTTTGCTTCTGCCCAGAAGTTGGATGGTTCTCTGTCACCAACTTTTTCTTCTATGTAGAATTCGAGGGACAAATCACTACCGGTATTTTGGACTGTTTGGTTGTTATACCAACAATAGTTACATGCACACCTAATGCGGGCATGTCTTCGTAGTCAAGATCTAATACTTTAATCGATGTTGCACTAACCTTGTAAATTTAAAAAAAAAGAAATTAGATTTATTATTTTAAAATTAAAAAAAAAATATGATAAAGTTTGAATTTCTGGAAATATGTTAATAATTTAAAAGAAGGTGCTGTAATTTTTATAATATGTATACGTATTAAACGTATACTAATAAAAGAAGGCGCTGTATACGTATATAGTATTATGTATATTGTATATATATTAAATATATATATTGTATATATTTATTAAATATATATTAGTACATATAAGGAAAGGTAAAACTGACGATCAGGGTAATAAATTTATTATATGTATTATTTAAACATCTGGAAAAAATTTGGTTACAGTCAACTCTGAATAAAACAGACTAATAGTTTTTTTGAGAAAAAAAAAATAAAATACATATTATCATTTTCTTAGTATTTCTACACTTAGTATCTATGAAAAAATTTTTAATTTATTCTATTTAGAGTTCTAGAGATTCATTATATTTAGAGTTGACTATACTTAATCCTAACTTTATTTATTAGAAGAAAGAAAAAAAAAAGAATACAATACTGTATAGTAGTTATCATGGGCAACAAATTTTCCTTTTAGATAAATTACATCTCCGCTTTGGAAAGGTTTGATATAATTGGTAGAGGGCTCATTTAGGGGGATAAAAGCTTTGATGTTTAAGTAGATGATATTAGAAGTCTTTTAACTTTACGATACCAGTAACCTTCTTGACAGTGAATTCTTGTGTTAGTCGTTCGGTACAATTATGTATATAGCAGATTGTCGTTAATTTTGCAAGCATGGTTTTTTTCTATTTTTTTTTTTTTTTTTTTTTTACTAATAACTGAAAAAAAATAATGAGAAAAGATGAGTATTTATAAGTAAAATTTTCTTTTTTTTTTATATATTATGTTTATGAATAGTAAAGAACTAAAAATTTTATTTATTTTTTTTTATTTAATACATTGCTAAGGGGTAAAATCTATTTCAAGTTCAAGTATTTTTTTATCACTATCGTTATTTCTATTACTATCGTTATTTACTTTACTACTCTTGCTATTATAATTATTTATTTATTATTATTTATTTATCCTTAAACTTAAACTTAAAAAAAAGTTTGGATTTTTACAACTGTTTTGAGTAGATAGATGCGTGTTATTTTTCGTTTTCATAAATAAATTATAATTATTACGAAAAGATCGTATACAAGAATTCGTTTTGTATATCCTTTTTTTTAATTAAGGTTGTGATTAGTTAATAGATAAGAGGCTATAGTCTTTAATCTTGAAGATAGCAGGTATGTATTTGATTTTTACAACCATTTTGAGTAGATACATGCGTATTATTTTGTAGATAGATTATAACTACTATAAAAGATCATATGGGCCCTTCTACAGCAAATCGGGGCTTAGAGACAAACTAACGGAAATCGAGATTTTTATTGGATTGTATTCGCAAGTATGTGACTTATTCATAGTAAAAATTTTAACATATGTTGACATATTATAATTTGGCACAGTTCTATACGCAGTAGTTTTTGCGTACGATGATTTTCTGTTCTAATTTTAGATTGCTGCATGATCCGTATTACGTATTGCTGTCAGCTGCATTACTACATGATCATGTACATTATGATCTTTTTTACTTAATTGTAGTAAAGAATTTTCATTCAACCGGTGAAGTAGCCTCAGAATTCCAGACTTCTGGATATCAAATTATCGTAAACCTTATTTTATGGTGTACTCAAGATAAAGAATAGCAAAAAAACAGTTGATTAAAAGAGAGCGTATAAGAAAAAAAAAAAAAGTACATACAGTATTAAACTTTTTTGTGAGATCTATGTTTAATATTAATTTTATGTCTTACTAATTAGTTTTCATTCCAGCATGAATAAAACTATAATTTCAAGCTGGATTGATTGAAAAAATAATGACTATAATACATATCTCATAGACCCTATAAGTTTAAACTTTATTACGTGAAAGTAGAAACGGGTTTGATATTAATACATTTTATAAATTGTATGATTTTTCAACTATTACAATATTTAAGATTAAAGAAACCAGTAAATTGATAGGTAGCTATTTATATATTAGTAATAGCATAATAATCTAGTTAATTTGAATCTGAATTTTTATTATTTTCATTTGGAGCAAAACATAATTCATCTTTATATGGATTATGTATATATAGGCGAATATCTTTAAATAGTTGTGTCTGACGTTTTAAAGATATAGACTTTAAAGAAACTATGTCTAAAGGTTTATATGGATCAAAAGAAAGATTATTACGAATTATAGCTTCTTTTTTTGACCCGTTAGGTTCTAATGTTATAAAAACTTTTCCAGGTTGATTATGATAAAAATAAAAATGCCGATATATCTGTATACCACTACATTTAATAAAGTAGAGTTTAAAAAATGTTTCAAAATCATAGTAGTTCCATCCTATCTTATCTTTATTATCATATCTAACTGCTATATTATTTCCATCTTTTTTTGATTGATTAATAATAGTTTCAATGTGGTCCATACTCATAACAATAGACTTATGGTAAAGCGATTTAATTGTTCCAAAATATGCATCGTATATAAATTTAGTATGACTAGGAATCATGAAGTTAATTTCAACTTTGTCAAAATGTCCAATCATAGTAAGCTACGAATAAAACCATAAAGCAAGATTGTTTTTGTTCTGGCCCCCACAGTTATCACAGGTAACTTTAAGGTTTTTATGTGGCAAATTCCAACCAAGTAAACTATTGTATATAAGATTAAGAGTGGTATTGGCGCCTTTAGGTGTTTTTATTGGTAATTGATGTTCACCAATTAAATAATTTTGTTGTGTTGTAGGTTCCAAGCTAGTATTGGTAATCCCAAAAAGATTAATATTAAATGGAGATTTAAAAAATAAACCTCTCGGTTGTCGTGGTGAGTAGGGAATTGGTACGTTTTGAGCCTAGTCATAGCAAATATGCATAGTATTAAATCTTATTTGTTTACTAATTTCAATATTTCATTATAGTACTGACACTTAATTGTTGCAGCTGCACGATGAAGGTCATATTCTGCTTGAAATTTTTGTTTGCTTTCAATATCGCCCGTAGTGTGAATATTAACACGAAGTTGTTCACATTTATTGCACAAATCAGAAGCTTTAGACATAAATTTAATATCAGGTGCAATTTCATGCCAAATTTGATGAAATGTAGAAAAAGCCATAGCTTTATAATCTTTACCTTTAATAAATTTAATTGTATTTATAT